GGAGGGATTGGGGGCAGGAGGAGAAGGGGACGACAGAGGATGAGATGGCTGGATGGCATCACCGACTCGATGGACATGAGTTTGAGTAAACTCCGGGAGTTGGTGATGGACAGGGAGGCCTGGCGTGCTGTGATTCATGGGGTCGCAAAGAGTCGGACACGACTGAGCAGCTGAATTGAACTGATAGCCAATTAACAATGTTGTAACAGTTTCAAGTAGATAGCAAAGGGACTCAGTCATGTACATCCATGTATTCATTCTTCCCCAAACCCCCCTCCCATCCAGGCTGCCAGGTAACATTGAGCAGAGTTCACTGTGCTATAAAATAGGTCCTCCTTGTCCCATGCTTTTAATCTCAGGTGAGTAATTTTGCTCTTTTAGAAAATTAAGGGCAATAAAGATTGAGGGCAGGAGGAGAAGGGGTAACAGAGGACAAGATGGTTGTATGGCATCGTGGATTCAATGGACAGGAGTTAGAGCAAATTCCAGGAGATAGGGAAGGACAGGGAAGCCTGGCGTGCTGCATGCAGTCCATGGGGTCGCAAAGAATCGGACATGACCAAGAGACTAAACAACAATACAAATACTGTTTTGGTTCCTCAATCTTCTTGTTTAATTTCACTGGAAACTAGTATAACTGACCTATCTGACATGGCATTTATCTTGTGAAGTATGGATTATCCATTCTCTAAACACATTAATACTAGTAAGTGCTTCAAAGTCAAATATTTTTTTCTCTAGAATTATGCTGGCAATTTTTTTTTCTGTATCTTTCTTTGGTAATTAGTAGTCAAGTATGCAGATGTAAAAACCTCAAAATTAGAATAGTCAATCTGCTAGACAATCATGATTCTAATCCACAGCCAGGTACAGCCTCCCTAAACGGTGATATGTCAGGGATCAATCTGGATGGTTGACAGCCCCCCTTCAGGTCGTGTCACCTGCTGAGCAGAAGCCACCCTGAGCCAGAGCAGCAGATACAAAGGAGCGGGAGCAGGAAGCTGGCACACCAAAGTCTATTGATTCACTAGTTAGGCTACTCGTGGAAGGACGTCTACCTGCCAACAGAACAAGACAGCATGTCAAAGGCTGCACGGCGGGGACCAATCTGGCATCTCACCATCCAGGGGCTTGGCCTCGGCAGGTGTCTGTTCCTCCTGAGCGCCCAGGCTGTTCTCTTTGATGCTTTCTATCTCCCGCCAGAAATCCTCCATGGAGGCACTGTCTACGGAGGCTTGCGAGTTGGAGCGGCTGAACGCCGGGGACTGAAGGGACTCATTGGAGAGCATCCTGTTGATTCTTCGGCAGCGAGGGATGGACTTTCTGAGGAAAGAAAAGCATTAACTATCGGTCAATGGAAACCAGTGTCTCATGTGATGAATCACACAAAAGTTTGAAACTGATGGAGAGAAGGTGTTAGTGTGACGGAGAGAGGTTTGAGGGAGTAACCCCCAGTCAGATGGCCCCACCCTTTTCATCCTCTCTAATTCACAATGACTTTGTGGCCATGTGGAAATTATCACAAAAATACTTTCTGTGACTTTTACACACTCATAAAGTAAGAATTTGCTTATATTAATCAAAACACATATAGTAAAAGTTAGCTTCTGTAAATGTCGCAAGAGGGCGGGGGGGAAGCTGGCTCTGCTTGGAGTCCTAGATTCGTCAATCACCTTTAGTAGAAATTTCCAGAATTAGATCATTGATCCTGACATTGTACCTGACTAGAAGCAGTTCTAGGTTTACACTGAGTTAGTCAAGTTATTTTCAAAACTCAGAGCATTTCAGAAAAATCTAAGATACCCACTTTAATTTTTTTCTTCTGTGCTGTGTAATAAAAATAATTTGAGGTAGTTTTGTTTGATAACTAGGTCATAAGAGTTCTTCACTGAGTTCTTTATAGCTTGACATGACAGAGACATTCTAGTGATTGAAATGCATATGAAATCAACACAGGATATCAAGACAGCTATTGCTTCCTATATTGCTTTTAGGCTGTCAAGTCTTTCCCTTTTGCATCAAGACCAATACTGAAAACCATTAGCAAATTCATAGAATTATAAGACATCTACTTCTTGAAACCGTATTCGATTACCACTGCTCACAAACCCTACTGCCCTCTGTACACTGTTCAGAAAAAAATATATATAGATGCCCCAAACTTTCTCTAGTTATAGTTTTTTTTTGGAGGGAGAAGGAAATGGCAACCCACTCCAGTATTCTTGCCTGGAAAATCCCATGGACAGAGGAGCCTGATGGGCTACCAAAACTAACAGATTTTTTTTAGGTTTATTCTTTAAAAATTAAGTATGACTGACATAAAAATTTTACAGTCTTAATAAGACACAGCCTGTTTTTAAAATTTATAAGATGGTGTATTATAAGGATAAAAGTTTAAGTAACACACAATTTATAAAGCAGAAACTGAAGGTCTTTCCCATCTGTATCACATCATATTGTTCTACGAGATGCTTTGTTTTCGCCACTCAAAACCATGTCATAGATATCTCTTCCATGCCAACACAGACATACCATCTCAATGGCTGCATGGAATAGAATAATTTATCTTAGAAATTAAGCAAACACGCAGATATACCTCAGCACCGCAAGTATGTGAAGAAGCGAGAAATCTGGGAACTATTAAGTGAATCTTAGATGATAAGGAACATATGTATTTAGGATTAGCAAGGACTGTTTTCATTTACTACAGTTTCTTACTCATGCAAAGGGAATACTGGTGGAATCTCAGAGAAGAGATCATCATAAACTTCTGCTGAGAGCAGGGCGATTAGATGTGAAATGCAGGTCATGAACATCTGCGTAACACACTGGTCTCATCTGAGACAACCCACCCCAAAAATCCTTTAATTGCAACAGTCAACTGTTTTTTTTGGCAAAGAAGTCAGACAGCATTTTTGGGATAAGCACATTTGGAAGAGTTCTCGCTTGTTTGGTGAGGGATCCGAATACTTCCCTTTCACCCCAGGGTAGAGTAGGGACCGTGACCTTCCAGTCCTGAAGTATTATATAACTGCAACGTTCCAGCTCATCCAACACTTTGAGGAGACTTACAGCTTCATACCTCACCATATTAGGATAAACAGAGCTTCAGCTTCATCAGCTGTTTGTAATTTTTCACTCCAAAACAATACCAGGAAAAATTATATGGAAAACAGAATGCGACCATTACACAGTGTTATATAGCAACTTTTGTTGGGAAAACACCATGAGGTGTAAAATTAGATTTTCAGTGGATGGCTAATTACCATTAAGTTAAAGTGTCATTAATAAAAAAAATTATTATTCCATTTCTCCTCCATTATCTTTTAAGAAATACCTTATATAACTATCTGCCTTGAGTTAGTATTTTACAACGTCAGAACAATGTAACTAACATGTGAGTGTAATTCTCCCTTCATTCCTTATCATACCACTATTGTCATATATATTACTTCTTCACATTTATATCCCACAAAAGTTATTATAAAATCCTTATAGTATTTTTCAATCATTTACGAAAATGGTAAGTGAAAATAACTTTTTGTCACCTTTTAAAAACACTGACTTATAAAATGCTGAACTTTAATAAATTTCACAAAATCAAGCTCACATAAATCAAAAAAAGTCAACAACTTTTTTAAAGTTAAACAAGTAGACTTTTACCTTTATCCTTTCTGGTGTGCCTTATCCTCCCTACAAGGCAATGTAGCTATAACAGATCACTCTAGGCGGTTTTGCCAACCTCCTTTGGTATTTCTTCAGCATTTCTTGTACTATGGATCTGCTGGCAACAAATTCCCTCATATTTCTTTCTGAATGTGTCTTTCATTCACTTTCATCTTGGATGAATATGATTACTGGGCAGAGGACTCGGCTGGCAGTTTTTATTGTCTTTATAATCCTTTTAAAGCTGTCATTTCATTGTTATCTGTATTCTTGATTCTGATGGAAAATCATTTATAATCCTTATTGATATTCTTCTAAGTATAATGTTTATCCTCTATAACTGATTTTAATGCATTTTTCATTTATCTTTTGTTTTTAGAAGCTTAATTATGAAATGCCTAGATTGTGATTTTATTTCTATTTATTCTGTATTGTGGCTCAGTTGGTAAAGAATCCACCTGCAATGTGGGAGATCTGGGTTCAATCCCTGGGTTAGGAGGATCCCCTAGAGAAGGGAAAGGCTACCCACTCCAGTAATCTGGCCTGGAGAATTCCATGGACTATATAGTCCATGGGATCGCAAAGAGTCGGACATGACTGAGAGACTTTCACTATTTTGCTTAAGGTTTACTGAGCTTCTTGAATCTATGGGTGTATGTATTTCATCAGTTTTGGGGTAGTCTTATCCATTTTTTGTTCAAATATGTTTTCTGTCCCAATTTCTCTCTCTTCTTCTGGAACTCCAATAACACAACCATTTGACATTGTCCCAAGTGTCCTTCACAATATGCTTTACTTCTCCCCAACCCTCACCCTTTGTGCTTCAGTTTAGAGAATTTCTACTATCCTCTCTTCAGATTCACTTTTCTTCTATGTGTCCAGTCCTTATTGCGTCCACCCGGGGAATGCTTCAATTCTGATACTGTGTTTTTTCATATCAAGAATGTCCAATTGGTTCTTTTTAAAGGTTCTATTTCTCTGTTGCTATTATTCACCCTTTACCCATTTTGTCTCTCTTCTTTAACATATTTATTGTTGTCATTTAAAGTTTTTGTCTCTTAGCGCCAACATCACTGCTATCAGTGCATCTGCTAATATTGATCAAAAAACAGTCAATTGCTTATGGGTTATATCCTCCTGTTCGTTTACAAATCTCACAATTTTTTGTCGTATGGCAGACATTATGTTTTAAAGAACCCTAGGAAACAGGAATAAATAGTAAGTTCCCCAAGAAGAGCAAGCCTTCTGTCTGGTGGCTGAAATGAGGTACAGATCACTTCAATCCATTAAGGAGCTGAAGTGGGTCTGGGCTGAGCTGTAATTTTAATCAGTTTAAGGTTACCACTGGTTCCAAATGCTTTGAGGAGATCTGCCCTGTGTATATTACAGGTCCCTCTCTCAAGAGGGCTTTAGGATAAACACCACGGGATTACAGGAATTGCTGTCTACTTTAGAGCCTTTATGAGCAAAATCCCAAGGGAGAGAGTTGTCAGACATGCAGAACCAGCTCTTCAATTCAGGCTTTGACAGCTTCCGACCTCCATAGTGTCTCCTCTCCCCCTAAAGCCCCTCTATTTGGGCAGGTGTCATCGTCTGCCCAGCAGTGCAAAGACTCAGGAAGAGACACATACAAAGGAAAGAAGTGACTCTTGGGCTTTGCTCACTCACTACGAAGATCTCTTTCCTCCTGGAACTGAGTTCCTTTAGACGTCTTTGTGTCCAGAGGTCTCCACTATAGCTCTTAAGACATATGATTTTACATGCATCCTCTCTTCTGTCCTTGCAACAGTGAGAAAGATAATCAGCCATAACCTAGTCTCTGTTCTAATTGGAAACGGCACTCCCACAGAACACTGTAAAACACATCAGGTATTTTTTAAACGTTGCATTTGCTAATGAACCGCTTGTTCTGTCCAGTCACAAGTTCAGTTGTTTTTAGTGTAATCCACAGAGCATTTATAAGACAAACTTCTTGCTAAGAAATACTTACTCTGTGGCCTTTACTATCTCTAATTTTATAAACAATTTCACACAGAACAATTTACTGTCACACACATTTCATCATTTGATCCTTACCTGAACCCCATGAAGTAGTCAAAGCAAGTATTACATGTCTCATTATACAACAGGGAAAAGGTTATGGCGAGTGAAGCGAAGACACACGAATCCCACCACGAATACCACAAAATGCAAATTCTTGCCTCTGACTTTGAGGCCGGCATTTCTGTCCCCAACCATCTGATCCATCTCACTTTCTACCACTCTCCCCTGGCAAGCACCAGGCCTGCTAATCTCTTCTCAGTTCCTCTAAAACAGCCAAGGTCTTCCTTCCCTTAGGGAATTTTCTCTTACTGTTTTTTTTTTCTGCCAGGAACATTCTCTGTCTTTCCACGGCAAGATGCTTCTCGTCACTCAGCTCCTAATGTAAATGCCACCTCCTCAGGACGATTTAGAGAAAAACTCTAAAGCCCAGTGGGTTCAGGTTTGAATGCAGACTCTGCCACTTCCTAGAGCAAGCTCTCAACCTTGAGCAAGCTACTGAGCCTCTGGGCCTGCATTTCCTAATCTGTAAAATGGAATATGAATCACATACACGCTCTGCATTATTATGAGGATTAACTGAGTAAATGCATGGCACATAGTAATCCCATGTGTTATTACTATAATTTAACTAACTTATTGGCATTCCTACGGCTAGGTTTACGATCAGGCTATAAAAGGCACTAAAATGTTACTAGGAATACAATGAAATAAATAAAACTGCACTTATCAGAACTCATCTCTGATCCAACACCATTCCCAAGCCTGGTTTCTCCAACTCCCTTAGGTCAGAGTGACCACCTGACACAATTCTGGCCAAGTCACATAAGAAAAATCTCTTTCCATGGTTTCAGTGTAATCTTTTGTTTTCCTGATTTCGCTGCTATCCCTTTCTCTTCCTTCTTCTTCTTTACTGGAATGCAGACAAGATGACTAGTGACTCAGCAGCCATCTTGCAATCATGAGAGAAAGGTTATGAAACTGCACTAATCAGCCTTGATATTATTGAATCTCAGAAATAACCCCAGAGGCTGCTTATTCTCTGGACTTCCAACAATGTGAGAAAAAATAAGCCAGTTTAAAAAACAACTCTATGTTGTTGTCATTACTATTTGCAGTCCAAATGATTCCTAACTGATATAAGTAGAAGGAATACTTTAATGAGTAATTTGGGGTGGGGTGAGATGAGACACCACCTCCACCCCACTCAGGGGAATATTCAAGTAAGATTAGTCAGTCAGTAATGTGCCTCCTAAAGGAAAGTGGGATCTAATATAATGATTTTCCACTTTGAGTTCAGTTCAGTTCAGTCACTCAGTTGTGTCCAACTCTGCGACCCCATGAACTGCAGCACGCCAGGCCTCCCTGTCCATCACCAACTCCAGGAGCCTACCCAAACTCATGTCCATTGAGTCGGTGATGCCAACCAACCATCTCATCCTCTGTCGTCCCCTTCTCCTCCTGCCCTCAATCCTTCCCAGTATCAGGGTCTTTTCCAAATAGTCAGCTCATCGCATCAGGTGGCCAAAGTACTGGAGTTTCAGTTTCAACATCAGTCCTTCCAATGAACACTCAGGACTGATCTCCTTTAGGATGGACTGGTTGGATCTCCCTGAAGTCCAAGGGACTCTCAAGAGTCTTCTCCAACACCACAGTTCAAAAGCATCAATTCTTCAGTGCTCAGCTTTCTTTATAGTCCAACTCTCACATCCATACATGACTACTGGAAAATCCATAGCCTTGACTAGACGGACCTTTGTTGGCAAAGGAATGTCTCTGCTTTTTAATATGCTATCTAGGTTGGTCATAACTTTCCTTCCAAGGAGTAAGCTTCTTCTAATTTCATGGCTGCAATCACCATCTGCAGTGATTTTGGAGCCCCAAAAAATAAAGTCAGCCACTGTTTCCAATGTTTCCCCATCTATTTGCTGTGAAGTGATGGGACTGGATGCCATGATCTTAGTTTTCTGAATGTTGAGCTTTCAGCCAACTTTTTCACTCTCCTCTTTCACTTTCATCAAGAGGCTCTTTAGTTCTTCTTCACTTTCTGCCATATGGATGGTGTCATCTGCATATTTGAGGTTATTGATATTTCTCCTGGCAATCTTGATTCCAGCTTGTGCTTCCTCCAGCCCAGCGTTTCTCATGATGTACTCTGCATATCAGTTAAATAAGCAGGGTGACAATATACAGCCTTGACGTACTCCTTTTCCTATTTGGAACCCGTCTGTTTTCCACTGTAAGGGTAGCCAAATTATAAGCCCAACCTCATGTCTTGGTCTGGTCTTGATCAGCACACTGTGGTGCACTATCTGTGCACTCAGTCATGTACGACTCTCTGTGGCCCTGCAGACTATAGCCCGCCAGCTTCCTCTGTCCATGGGCTTCTCCAGGCAAGAATACTGGAGTGGGTAGCCATTCCCTTCTCCAAGGGATCTGCCCAACCCAGGGGTCAAACCCACGTCTCTTGTGTCTTCTGCATTGGCAGGTGGATTCTTTACCACTAGCAATCCCTGGAAAGCCCCAGTGCATGGTGGAGTTAAACTTCCATCTGGCTGAAGATATCCCTGCCTAGATATACAGGGAATATATCTACATTGCTCTCAATTCAAACACAGTCCAAGAGATTTTAGGAAGAATGTATCAAAATCAAGGATCTCCCCTTCTTTCTGTGAAAGAAGAGGACTGAAACCCCTTTCATCATGGTCAGTGAGTGATGTTGGTGCTGGCACAGCCTGGCCATCTCGAGACATCATCTTGGATGCTGACCACACCGAGGCCTGTGCAGCAGGCTTCCTGCAAGAGAAACCTCTCACTCTCTGGGACAGACGCTAGGCACAGCCAGGGTCACGCAGCTGTCTGCCCTCTCAGCTTCCTGGGGAGGCCACCCAGGATGATAAAGACAGAGGACAAATACCTTGTTTTCAGGCCCTGGCTTCTCAATATCCTTGGACTCTAATACGCTTATAAACAAGCTCAACTTGGATGCCTTGGAGAAAGCACTTGAAAGGCAATGGTGATAAAAAGAAGCTATGGTTTCAGATTAACAGAAGCGAGAGCACAGAGGAGATGCCTGCTCTTTCTCTGGCCCCCGACTCGATCTCTCACTATCAATTCTGGCAGCCTCTCCTTCACCGCCTGCCAGCCCCGTTTTCTGTTCTGTTCCCACCTTCCTCCGCTCTCTGAGAGGAGTGAAGAGAAAGCTGATGAAGCCTTTCCCTCAGAAGGTAAACAGGTCTGCCTGAACCTCTCTGTTGGCAGAATGAGATACAGAAAAATGTGTTTGTAGATTAGGGGAGGCTTAAAACAGCAAACAAATCTCAGTCACTCAGCATGGAATATTTGAAATGGTTTTGCAAGCTAGAGTTCTTTTTAACCAACTGAGGTGCAGAGCAGCAATTAAATTCTTATGCAGCTACATATCACTTTTGAGGACAGGCACTGGGCTAGAAATGGGAAAAGTGACAATGAGGAAATAACTTCCTACGATTACACACTGCACCCCAGTGTTTATGAAGGAAGGGACTCAAATGGGGCCACAGTGGGGAATGGGGGGTGGGAAAGGAGGGATGAACACATGGAATACAGAGGATTTGTGGGCAAGGAAACTATTCCGTATGACACCATGTTGTTGTAGTTGTTGAGATAAGTTGTGTCTGACTCTTTGCGACCCCATGGGCTGTAGCCCACAAGGCTCCTCTGTCCATGGAATTCTCTAGGCAAGGATACTAGAGTGGGCTGCCATTTCCTTCTCCCGGTTGATAAAACCGGGTTTATCAACTGTAACAGATGAGCCACTCCGGTAGAGGTGCTCTTAATGGGGGAGGCTGGGCATGTGGGGGGCGGCAAGAAGCGTATGGGAAATCTCTGGTACTTCCCCATAATTTTGCTGTGAAACTAAAACTGCTCTAAAAAGATAACATCATTTTTTAAAGTACTTGGGAATTTCAAAGTAAAGGCAAACTTCAGAAAAAGCAAAAAAAGAATCAAATTTTCGAAAAGGTCGATGGGTTTAGAAAGAAGGAAAGCTACTTCTATCAAAAGTTACTGGTTGTTTTGAGCAAAGGATAACAATCACAGACGGGAACTGTCACATCTGCTCAAACAATAATCATCTAAACAAGAGACAGGCTGAAATGTCTGCTGTGCAGGCAGAGGATACCACTGCAGGTGAACCTTCTATTTTCTGTTTTATTTTATTTTTCATTTATTTTTATTAACCCCCCCATTATGCAGAGTGAAGTAAGCCAGAAAGATAAAGAACATTATTTTCTGTTTTAAAACTAACATGCGGTTTATGAGTTTGAGGTATATATTGATGTTGAGGTATACACTGATTTTGGTGAAGCTCACTCAATCACACAAGTGACTCCTATCATATTATCTATAAGGATAAGCTAAAATTATGAGTGACACCTGATCATCGCTCAGAGGCTCATTTCTTTTTTTTATTAAATTAGCAGATGTCCAGGAAAGACTCTGTAAAACAGAATGCAAGCAAAAAGCAGCTCTCCCATGTTCTCTAATAGAAATCTATCCTTTATCCATTCAGTGACATGTGTCACAAGTCTGCTTTGTGCTTCTCAGATTACTATTCTTCATGTAACCTGGATAAATAATTTTTAAAGTCTGTATTTTTATATCAAAAATAAGCTACATACATGCAGATGGTACCACTCTAATGGCAGAAAGTGAAGAGGAACCCTCTTGATGAGGGTGAAAGAGAAGAGTGAAAAAGCTATCTTGAAATGCAACATGAAAAAATACTAAGATCATGGCATCTGGTCCCACCACTTCATGGCAAATAGATGTGGAAAAAGTGGAAGCAAGGACAGATTTTATCTTCTTGGGCTCCAAAATCACTGCAGACAGTGACTGCAGCCCTGAAATTAAAAAACACTTGCTTCTTGCAAGGAAAGCTATGACAAATCTAGATAGTGTATTAAAAAAACAGAGACATCACTTTGCTGACAAAGGTCTGGCTGAGGCTGAAGCTCCAATACTTTGGCCACCTGATACGAAGAGCCAACTCATTGGAAAAGACCCTGAGGCTGGGAAATTATGTCCCTAGTCAAAGTTTTCATTAAAGAACAAGAGGAGAAGAGGGTAACAGAGAATAAGATGGTTGGATAGCATCA